ACCTAAAACAGCATATCTAAATAAGTGATTTTCAAAAACAGGAACCTTTAAGTTGATTGTTATGGTTGCTTTTCACAGCACACAAGCCAGCCATTTGCTCCGACCCCTGCCTCCATGTCTGACACTGCACAGTAAATCAGGGATGACTCGAACCATTAGACGTGATGGGATAATGGACAGGATGAGGCTTCAGAACTTATATTTGCTTAACTCACTGAATGTCACTTTGTGAATGGATGTGTGCATGACTGACATGACTAAAGGTTCTGTTTCTGTCCAAACACAATCGGTTTTATATTTAGATTTTTTAAAGACGGCACCTGTAAGCAGCAGTCAAACAGTACTGCTCACACATTCCTTTGCGGCGAAATAGGATTTCACTAACTGTTTTTACAGAGCATCAAATGGACTGCATCAAAACAAATAATAAATCTGATTGCAAATCGAATTTGAATGAGAACAGAGCCTGAACAGCAATCCTTCATCTACTTGGAGGTGGTAATTTACCACAGTCATTTGAGATCAGAGAAAATAACTATGTGTACACCGTTCTTATTTACAGACCTCATTTAGATTACGAACAGAAAATGCATTTCCCCTAAGATGCCTATTTTATCTCTCTCATCGACGACTGATTAAGGCATAAAAGCATGATGCTATACAGTAATTAAATTGCAACATTATTCAAATGTACTTAATAGCAAAGCACTCTATTTTTAGCGGTTTATAATAGCATATGAGGGGTTGAATGTCACCTCAGATTAATGTGACACCAAAGCAGTGGCCTCTTACATAAACAATACTAGAGAGAGGGGCTAAGTTACCATCTTTCCATTCCAGTCAGCATGGAAAACATTCACATTTACTTAATTAAATTAATATAACATTACAGCTTGTAGGGATGCTCCGATCAGGATTTTTGCAACCGATACGGAGTACCGATTTCTTGTCATGGTGATCGGCCAATACCGATGCCGATTCTGATGCTTCAAGCTTTATATAGACCGTTTCATCGGGCGCACGCGCCTGGCCCAGCCCGAAGTTAACTTCCGGTCTGTGTTTGTTTATCAGTCTGGCTATGGCACCGGCTACAAACGCAGTTAAAGTGATGAATAGACTGAAGTTGGGCTCATGTGGTTGTGCTGTGGGATGTGTTTCCCATACATTAATTTATTTGTGGCGCTCGCCACAATATCAAAACTGACCGATTTTCCAAAAGGCTTCGTTGAATAAACATGAGCACGTACTGCACATTTAAAAATCAAAATGAGGCGCGGGTGTTTTTATATCACTGTATTTCTGAAGGAAGACTATCTTTAGAAAATTTTCGATGTCATTTTCATTTCATCTTGCATGTTAAATGCCTGATAAAGCAGAGTTTGTGAGCTCAGCGCTGCTTTGTGTACAGCTGTTACCGGGAAACCTCTGTTTCTCCCGCTTTAAAATGCATTCTAATTATTTGCGGGTGGCTAAATCATAAATTATGCAAATATTAACTACATTTTTTTTTTCCATGAGGCAGACGATTTTGCATGTGTGTGTGCGCGTGTTCGTTCGCCTGATTGGGAAGTGGCAGTGACAGAAACGGTAACATTCCAGATAAAGTTTGAAAGGAGTAAAGCCTGTGTTAATGCTTTTGAGTAGGCTAATATGGCCAAAGATGATATTTTGTTTTATAAATAAACGCTCATTTAAAAGCAGCCCACGATCAGCGATACGGCTCAGACGAGGTTTGTATCCGTCCTCCATGCTGTGCCAACTCACAAAAGACTATTTTTAGCCAAGCAGCGTGGAGAGCCGTTCATGTTCAGAAACATGCCGCGGCTGCAGTATAAACACAAGCACTGACTAGAACGGCCGCGAGCAGCTCCGGTTCCAGTGGAGCCGTAACGCGCCACAGACGTGTGCAGTGAGGCGCAGATCAGCTCTAACGTCACTGAATCTGTTGTTAGTCATTTACGTCCCCACGCATCATGTACGTGGTCAGGCGTTGACGTCATCAAATTGCGATCAGTTCGTGAGATCTGCCAAATAGTGAGTACCGATCGAGTCATGAAATGTGATTATCGGCCAAAACCGATCTCTGGCCGATCGATCGGAGCATCCCTAACAGCTTGTACTACATGCGCTGTACCAAAGTATGTACACTTTGTTTGACCAAACCATAGTTAAAACATTACTTGAGGTACAGCCATTGTCCATAATTAAATAATCTGGGTTTACGGTTTTGGGTTTACGGTTTTAAATTTAAACAAAACATATGCTAAAGGCCAACACACAATATCACATGTGCATATGCATCTTACAAAATAATAATGCATCATTTTGCATTATATTAATAAAGGGTCAATATAGTTAACTAAAACTAAAACCATAAAAAACAATTGTTAACTAAAGTAAAATGAAATATAAACCTTAATTTAATTATTTAAATTTCTAATTTGTCATTTAGTTTAACTTCTTGTATCAAAATAACTAAGAAAATAAATATTATTCAAAATGATATAGACAAGACTTTTAAAAAACAAAAACTCTGCAATTCCTAAACTTTTAACTAATTAAAATTAAAACCAAAAATATAAAAACTAGCCTAATTCAAAATATTAATAAAAACATCTCAATCTCAATGATACTAAAACAACGTGGGATATATAATATATAACACCATAATATAACAATAATAATATATAGGCTACTAAATTATAAGCACGACAAGACTAATCGTAATCGTCATTTGAATGCAAGCTTCTTCTCACAGTGCCTATAAATATCAATTCTACTATAAAGCTCAAGAAACTCAATATTTTATTGCATACTAATATCTAGGTCAAAATTATTTATTAAATCAATAGATATACAACTAGGCCATGCCTGTGCATATAACAGTCCAAAGGCCTCTGAAGCTCACTTGTGTCAAAAGTTAGTTTATTTAATGTTGGGGTAAATCATAAAAAAAATTACTTAAGTAAAATCCCATTTCCATCCTGCCATAAGAAAACACTTGTCTCTTTTAACAGACAGTTCGAAGCCCAGCAGTTACAATGATCATGATTTTGTACTGTATTGCAACAACACACAGTATTTACTCCAAATTTGTCTGGTTTTTACAATGACAACATATGTTCCTTACAAACACATTTAAATCTCAATAAACCCACTGAGTCTACACCTGTCAAAGGTCAGTGTACATCTAAAGCATTATGTGAAGATCAAAAAATTGCACTACAAATACACCCTTACGAATTGATTTAAATAAAGCTGAATATACACTGTAGACTCAAGGTCAAATTCAGCATTGCTGTCATACAGCGAGGTATTATCAGGAGCTATATAAGCTCGAGCAAAAGACGCAACAGGGCAGCGAATGATGTACGCCAAGGAGCAATAGACCTGACACGCTATTTAAACGCACACCGGGGTCTATCTAGAAATTCCAGGTGCCATATTCAATCTCAACACATTAGGCAGACAGTAGACAAAATAAGTCAGCCGATTAGGTTGGGTACATTGTGTTTTGCACATCTGCTCCTTCAAATACGATGCTAGCAAATTTGACGTGTCGCACAGCGCTTGTTCCAGTCCCCATGCCGAGTCACACATGGAGGGAGGAATTAGCACTGTATACTACAACTGTTGACACGAACACGCCAAGCTTAAAGGGACAGTTCACCCAAAAAGAAATAAAATCATTTACTTGTTACACACCTTACTTTCTTCGCAAAATATCGACGTTATGGAGGGCAGTCAGTAACGTACAATGAAAGTGAATGGCGGTTGCGGCTGTCACTCTGACTAACATCTCTTAACAAGAAAGTCATGCGGGTTTGGATCAACATAGTGGTGAGACAACGATGACCAAATTGCCATTTTAAGCTTTTTGAACGCCGTCTAAACGGTTGTTGTAAAATACGCATCGAAATGCGTTAAGTGAACAAGCAGGTAATGGGTCGAAAAGCAAGTTGACAGCTGAAGCGTCTTCACATTTGGCTTTAGCCTGCTAGCGGTCTCAACGCAAATAATCCTGTCAAAAAAGGGTGCAACTTACTGTTTAGTCTTGATAATGACACCAGATCAACATCTTAACTCACCCGAAACTGAAGCGGTCTCCAAATTTCCAACGCGACTCAAACACTCATTTTTAGGTAAAACCCTAAAAATACCCGGCTAACGTCACAAGTCACCGACAGTTAAACTGACAGAGACGGTCGCTCAGAGGAACAAGTTCGCTCGTTTGACAGCATTTCACAAGAGCGAACTGTCAATAAACGCCAAAACGTTCATGTAAGAGAATAAAATGTCTCTTCCGAGTCCGAGAAAATCATAACGTTAGAGACAGTGCGTTAGTTTCACTTGAGTTAACGCTCTTATGGCAAAGATCAAACGAATGCCTGTCAACGGATCTGTAACAGTCACAGCGCGAGCCTTTTATTTAGCGGCTTTCAAAAAAATTGACGGCCGTTAAAATAACATTAGGGTCACCCTGTCTGGGATAACATGTCAAAACCCACACACAAATATGCTCCTTTTAAATATTTTAAACTATGTTTAACCTCCAACGCACATTTAGTATTTTATTAAATCGTTAGTTTATTATAGGATAATGTTATTTTATTAACGTCGCGTGATCGTAGATGTAGAAACGCGGCGCGCGCACACTTCACAAGCTTCATACGTCAAAAGCAACTTTCCAGCGTGCGCTACACATCATCCCCGCATCTCAACACGGTGCATTGATTTTCCACACACCCCCTCCCCTGCAGAGACAATAGGCAGGTGTGGGTTAAAAATGCACAGCAGCCTGGTTGCCTTCTTGCCCCTTTCTCTGCCTGCTACCAACTAGCAGGAGTTGCCTAGCCAATTTGGCTAGCTGATAATAACGCAAGCTAACGGACAGCACGGTGAATGTAGACAATCAGCGGAGAGGAAGCAAAAAGACTGGTGCATTTGAAACGCGGCAGTAACACGAGCACGCATGCGAGAAATGGTGAAATTACACTCACAATGCCCTCCGAACGGTGCCTCAGAGATCCCCCTCGCTCTCTCGGTCTCCCTCAGACTCACTCTGCCGTCTATCTAGCTCCTCCAATCTGCAGAGAAATCCCTCCCACAGCCGCGCGTCGCTTGAGACATGTGATGCGCATCAGGAGGACGGCCGCTGACATGCAGGACTTTCCTCATTGGCTGAGATGAGATGTCAATCACGCTAGGCGCCACCCTCTGCCCAGTGTCCGCGCGCATTAACACAATTTATAAAGGTGTTTCCGAGAGCGGTTAAGTGTAAAATGACTTGTTCGGCGTCGTGGTTTATTTTAACTTAATAAACGACACGCTTCAGCGCGAGCCGGCGTTGTAAGCCCCGCCCACAGTCACAGACGAGTCTTCCCCGGCGGCTAATTAAACCTGACGTCATTTTTTCCATGACGTCGCCAGTCCTCTAGATTGTGGTGTCGTGTTTGATTCGCAGTGTGTAGACACTCCTTACTACCGCTGATCTGAACCGGATTACTGCATTCTGCAGCGCTTTCCCAAGATTAGGAATTAAACATTTGTCAGTTGGTTAACATATTACTGTTGGTTATTCGAATCAGGTTGAGGCTCATTCTTTCATTGAAATAGATAACTTGACAGATTGTGCAATTCTCAGTCTCTTTCTCATGCTAATGGGGTGAACTTGCATCACCAGCATTTTTCTCTCTGCATTTTCATCAAACGCATGTCCACTGAAGCACTTAGTTTAGTTAGCAGCCAGTCTGGCATCTTCCTTTTTAAAAATTGCAGTAGTACAAGCCCGGAGCATTTCTGTTTGTGAACCTTTGTTATGCCAAGTCCTCATGCCAGGGACTACCTGTACCAGAGGCGAATGAAAATCCTTGGTTAGGTAATAAAAACAAAAAAATGTCTTTTAAAGAGATAATGCGCAAAAAATTCTTACATGTACTGTGGTATTTATCATTTCGCATGAGACACCACAGCTTCCTTTAAGCATGATAAAGATGGCATATCTTGTTCCTGCGGTGGAGTGCTGCAAATCTTGCAGTGTAACAGTCTAATCGAATCTATTACAAATGTAATGAAATAGTACTGATTATAAGATACTCACTCTAATTCGACTACAGTACACGTGAATGCTCTGTCTATTAAATGTGAAAGAATTCAGGCTATAGACAAGAAAAACATACACCAAAATTAGCAGCCAAGTTCTTCAAACATGTCTACTGGAAATGATATTGAAACCAATTATTCATAGAGGCACAACGTTACCAGAAAACTGTTTTCTCACACGTGACATCTAAGATTTGCTGAGAAGTCCCCTAGTACTGGTTGTGGTTTCTTTCTTCACAGCTTCATTTTTGTCATGGTAACCATTGCTGTCATATGTTGACCATGGTGCTTGAAAGATGATGCCAAAAGTGGAACTGTGTTGTGGGTTTCCCCACGAAGGCCTCAGAAGAAGCCACATCACAATCTTCATTCTGTTCATTCTTTTGATACTTTTCTACTGACATTTACAGGCATTCATTTGGGGGTTTATTCAAAGTGACAAACAACACATATTACAGTATAAATTTACTATTTACTATTTTGGTTAAATACCAAAATGCCAATGTGTGTGTGTGTGTACTAAATTACAATTAAATGACAATATTACATCCTTAAATGCCAAAAATACAAAATACTACCACTACTACTACTACTACTACTAATAATACATTTATCAATGAAATATAGTAGAACTTGCCTTAGTATAGATGGTTATGATGTTATGATTCAGGTATTCAAGTGAGTGCTGTGTCATCAAGGTTTTCAGATTTTGAGGAATTCTGCTGATTAGGTGGAAGATTATTCCACTATGATGAAGTTCATGCTCTCACCATCTTTGTGTTTTGACCCTTTATATAGACAGAGACTCTTCACCATCCAGTAGCTATAATTTTCTGGGAACCCAAAGATCAAGACATCTTCTGGTTTTACTATCACACAAGGACCTCTGCTCAACTTGCTGGGGATAAAACAGACACAGTTGATGATAAACAGGCAGCAGCAGCGTTTGTGCTGGGTGCTATTGACAAAATCCTTCCACCTAATGGGTTTTATCATTAACAAGAAGGGCATCGCTGCACAAGACCGTCTTCACTGAGCAGTGGGTTTTGATATACAGCAAAACTTCAACTTTTTAAGACCATGTCATTTTAACTTGCGTTAAGCAAGGCTCAAAGGTTTGCTAATGTTCAATAAGATAGTGTGGGGAGGGGAGGTGTCAGCGAGTGCATTGATTGCTCAGCTTTAGTGCAAGCAGCTTGTAAATGTGGAGCATATGATGCATATGTTTGCTGTAGGAATCTCTGGAGTAATCTATTAGGTCGGACCACTTTGGTTTGCACCATATTTTCATCTAAAAGTAACATATAGCCCTTGCTAAGCCACAAGAGGCTGACAAACAAGTTTCCTTCCAGGCTTCCAAAACCTCTGAAGTGGAGAAGACATGAATTCTGTATTTATTTGTTCCAGTTTCCACTTCTGAGATTTTTATTTGGAGCCCCTCCCATTGGCGGCACACAGTGATGCCTGGTCCTTAAGCAGATGTCCCAGCAGTGCACGGATGCGCAAGTGCAGCCACCATTTTTTACTTCTTAAACATATTATCTTATACAGATACATACCGTATATGTGTGACCGTAAACTATCTATGATGACACAGTGTCAAAGTTTAGGATTTCAAGGTATGATTTAATATTTAAAATGCACATTGGACTATCCATAAACATAGAACCACAAGAAAATGTACATTAAATTTACAGTTTAAAAGGTATTAATTATATCATTAATTACATTAATATTAATACAAACATACCATTCTATATATGTCTGCTAAATGCGTAAATGAACATAAAATTATACAATTAATTAAAAAGTATTACATAATTATTTAAAGATGTAACAATTGCAATTAATAACACAAAAATGTAAAATATACACAATAGTTATTAAAAATATAATTATTTTGAAATATAAGAAAAGAAAAATATATTTATATAAATCACATGAGTACTAATGTATGACCTTGCTGGATATTATGCCACACATACTTGTGATGTCAGAAGAGGGAAGTTGGTGGCGGTCTTGGCTTCTTATCGAGATCTGAGATAAGAATGTTTGCTTAACAAGCTGTTCAGAGTGAACAACAAAGCATTCTTGGGTCAAAAATACTTATTTGACAGGAAAAATTCCTCAGGGCAGGCAACGAAGCCGCCATGAGACTTAACAGCGTCACTGTTTAAACTGTGCAGAGGATGACAAAAGAGCTGTCATGGAATGGCAGCTGACTCAAATCAATGTGGAAGAAGAGGACAGTGGAAATGGCTCATTAACAGACTTACACAAGAGGGTCCAGTACCCTATCAGTCAGGACACACGCTATTATTACTTCCTCTGGTCACCAATCTCCATTCTCCAGCAATCTGGCTCTTACTACAGCTTTTTCCACAATGTCAGCACAGAACTTCCTTCATTCTGATGGGCCACAAAAAACACAGAGAAAGTAGAGAGAAAAGACAGAAGTCTGACTATATTTAGCATTATAATAATATACATGCAGTGGCCTCAAAAGGTTTGTGGTGCTTAGGCCAAACTTGAAATATATACATTTTGTTGCGTATATAATAAAATATCAAACATAATGACACATACAAATAAACAACTTTAGAGCTTCCCTCTCAGAACTTCTGTAACTTTACTTTTCAGAGCCACTTTGCTGGCACTTTTAATCATGTGTCTCAATGTGATATTTAGTTCACAAAATTTCCCTCAAATGCTGTTCCACTAATGTTTGACACGGGAAAGTTACGTTATGTTTCAAAAGTTTAGGCTCAGTAAGATTAAAAAAAATGTTATTCATAATGTATACAGCAAGGAAACATTAAACTGATTAAAAGTGACAGTAAAGATATATGCATAATGTTACAAAAGACTGCTATTGAAAAAGACTGTTCTTTTCCACTTATTTATAAAAAAAGTCAAATGTATCACAGATTCCAACTTTGATAATAAAAATAAATGTTTCTTGAGTATCAAATCAGCATATTAGAATGATTTCTGAAGGATCATGTGACACTAAAGACTGGAGTAATGATGCTGAAAATTCAGATTTACCAACAAATATAAAATATATTTAAAAAAAGAAACGAATTAATGCTTAGGCCAAACTTGAAATATATACATTTTGTTGCGTATATAATAAAATATCAAACATAATGACACATACAAATAAACAACTTTAGAGCTTCCCTCTCAGAACTACTGTAACTTCACTTTTCTGAGCCACTTTGCTGGCACTTTTAATCATGTGTCTCAATGTGATATTTAGTTCACAAAATTTACCTCAAATGCTGTTCCACTAATGTTTGACACGGGAAAGTTACGTTATGTTTCAAAAGTTTAGGCTCAGTAAGATTAAAAAAAAATGTATTCATAATGTATACAGCAAGGAAACATTAAACTGATTAAAAGTGACAGTAAAGATATATGCATAATGTTACAAAAGACTGCTATTGAAAAAGACTGTTCTTTTCCACTTATTTATAAAAAAAGTCAAATGTATCACAGATTCCAACTTTGATAATAAAAATAAATGTTTCTTGAGTATCAAATCAGCATATTAGAATGATTTCTGAAGGATCATGTGACACTAAAGACTGGAGTAATGATGCTGAAAATTCAGATTTACCAACAAATATAAAATATATTTAAAAAAAGAAACGAATTATTTTTTATTTTAATGATATTTCACAATATTACTGTTTTTACTGTATTTTGATCCTTTAAATTCTGTCTTTGTAGCATAAAGGAAGCATATTGAACTGTATCTGCTGTTTCACTGTGTTATTAAAATCTAAAGTCATATTTGCTTTAAAAAGAATGCTTATGCTATATTTATTTGTAAAAAAAAAAAAAAAAAAAAGCCACTCTGTTTAATGCAATGAAATTCATAAGAGTCCTAACGCTTTCCGGGTCTGGGGCCGCTGTATAATAAAATACCAGAAGACATATAACTAAAAGCAAAGGTTTAGTGGCAAGACACGTTATTATAATTTCAAACAATCTAA